GGCCGCACAAAAGATGAGCATAACGCAAACTTGCGTAATACCCTTGATCGCGCACGAGAGGTAGGAATTAGATTTAACCCTGATAAATGCATCATAGGTGTGCCTGAAGTTCAATTTTTCGGACACATTATCTCAGCCCAAGGCTTAAAGCCCGACCCAAGCAAAATCGAAGCCATCACGAGGCTTGAAATCCCAAACACACGTGCTAAGCTGGAAACGTTTCTAGGGATGGTCAATTATATGGCAAAATTCGCGCCAAACTTGGCTGAGGTCACTTCCCCTCTGCGTAGCCTCATGCAAAAGGATGTTGAGTTCACATGGGAAAATTCCCACACTCAAGCATTTCAAGAGGTCAAAAATATCATTACGAATGCCCCAGTTCTTGGTTACTTCGACCCAGACAAACAACTTGTCCTTGAGTGCGACTCGAGCCAGAATGGAACTGGTTGTTGTCTCATGCAAGGAGGCAGACCAAATGCATACGCATCAAAAAGTTTCACTAATACTGTGAAAATGTATGCGCAAATTGAGAAAGAAATGTTAGCCATTGTCTTTGGCTGTAAGCGATTCCATCAATTTACATATGGAAGACCCATAATTGTTAAAGCGATCATAAACCGATCGAGTCAATTATGAAAAAACCCTTTCGGCGGCCCCTCCTAGTCTTCAGAGAATGCTGCTGCAGTTACAAAAGTACAAAGTAACTGTAGAGCATGTTAGCGGTAAGAATATACCGGTCAGCGATTTTTTATCGCGACATTCACTACCTGAAACAATGCCTACATTGATTGAAGGTCTCGATCTGCATGTACATTCAATTACGAAACAGTTGTTTGTTACTGATAGACGTTTAGATATCATTAGGCAAGCTATTACGCAAGACAAATCCATGCAGATATTGAAACAAACTATACTAGCAGGCTGGCCTGAAATGAGGTCACAGTGCATCCCAGAAATATCCGAATTCTGGAATCACCGGGACGAATTATCAGTGGAAGATTCCTTGATATTTCGTGGTCAAAAGGTCATAATACCACATAACCTTCGCCAGGAAATGCTGACGCAGGTTCACACAGGTCACTTAGGCGTTACCAAAACTATTGAACGCGCGAAAGATAACATGTTTTGGCCAGGAATGGCAAAACAAATCACAGATTATGTTTTGAAATGCCCTATCTGTTTAAAACATAGAGATTCAAATGCGAAAGAGCCGTTGCTCCCGCATGAATTTCCAAGCCGACCCTTTGAAAAAATAGGGACTGATATTTTCCAGTTTGATGGAAAGCAATATCTTGTCACAATCGATTATTACAGTCGATTTTTTGAAATAGATTTATTACCTGATACAAGATCAGGCACAGTTATCCAAAAACTGAGAGTACATATGTCGCGTTATGGTATATGCGATGTATTAATCAGTGACAATGGACCTCAATTTTCCTCGCAAGAATTTGAAGATTTCACGCGCGAGTGGAAATTTGAGCATAAAGCATCTTCTCCATATTTTCCAAGATCAAATGGTATGGCAGAGAAAGCTGTTTCAATTGCTAAAAGGTTACTTACTAAAGCAAAAGAAAGTGGTCACAACCCGTATACAGCTTTGCTTGAATACAGAAATACCCCCCTCGACTGTGGTTTTACACCAGCGCAATTACTTATGGGTCGTAGAACTAAGTCAATTCTCCCAATCACACCCAAACTGTTACAACCTAAAACCATATCTTCTTCCCTCGTCATGAAAAATAACGATAGGTCAAAGCTTACGCAAAAGAAAAATCACGACAAAAACGCCAAGCCCCTATGCCCCCTTTATGTAAATGACTCCGTGAGAATTCGTTCAGGAAAAATTTGGGAACCGGCCAAAATCATCAATAAACATGATGAAAGGTCATATTCCGTTGTTACGCAAGATGGAACTGTATATCGTCGTAACAGGCAACATCTTTTGAAAACAGAGGAAAATTTCTCACACTTTGACCCTATGCAACTCAATATTTTTGCTGATCCTGTAATAAGTAAAGAGCAAACATGTGTAAACAATCAAGATCAGATTAACCGCAATACTGAAGGCCCTTATATAACACGGTCAGGGAGAGTGGTGAAAAGCAATCAGCGCTATTCAAGTAGTCAGTGGGTGAAATAAACATCATAAACATATCATTTTACCTTTCACACCACTTGTTGTACTCTAATCAAAACAAATTATTATTTTGATATGTACTATAATTTTTTATAGATTTTATTCATTTCTTAACATACAATGTTTCATCTATATTTAATTTTCTGAATGAAAAAGTGCTACTTGTTTTACACCTTATTACAATTATGAATTGATTTCTGATAATAAAAGAATATTATTTTTTTAATACTTAAAGAAGGGAGATGTAGTATGTTTACCATACTGTTATCTTGAAACAGACTATAGCTAGTCTATACATGTAACCTGGCTGGAATTATCCGTCAGTCGTTGACCAGCTACACTTGTAGTAAGATCGCTTGATCATATCTTTATATTACTAGTCTTGTAAATAAACTGTATATATATGTATATCGGACTTTGTTATTATACTTGACTTTATTATATAGTTACAAAGATACAACAGACAGTACCTTGGGAGACGAGATGTGAAGAGGCCTATGAGAGGAAGAAGGCCAAGTACACTGAACTACTTGAGCAGTGCCGACACCGAGGTTGGCGGACTTGGCTATTCCCCATCGAAGTAGGCGCTAGAGGGTTTTGTGCGCAATCTGTATGTAGACCGATGACAGCTGTTGGCACCACTGGCAGAGACAGGCGCCGGGCAATCCAGAAGCTGAGCCAGGCTGCAGAGCGGGCGTCTAGCTGGCTGTGGCTACGACGCGAGGAGATAAGCTGGATGCGATCAACCTCCACACCGTAAGACGGTGGGCCCACCCGCCATTACAGATGTATTTGGATAAGGGCCGAAACATCTGGCGGGCACCCAGCTGACGATGGAGGAAGATCCGCAGTCGAGAACCAGACCTCAGAAAGGTGCGTTTAAGACTGTATTATCCACATTGTATTTTGACATTCAGATTTTAATTTTGGACCAGGTTTGTAAATTCTGATGCCGAAATGAATTTTGAAATCAACTGACCTACTTTTGATATTTTTTTATATAATTTGAACTTCATTCTTGTTTTTTTTTTGACAAACAGACTTGAAATTTGGACTAGGGGTGTAATTTCTGATGCTTAATTGAATTTTGATATCAACTGGCCTACTTTTCATATTTTTTACAATGTTTGACCTATTGTCTTTTTTTAGGTACAGTTATGTTACCATACAGAATGTATAACAAATTTGTTGTCCCAAACTGTAAACTTCAAACATCTACACCTTATGTTTTGCATGTGACATTTTGTTTTTTTTCATTCAAAAAAGTTATAGAAAAATTGAACAGTCAAAATAAATCCTGCTCTAGTGGTCATTTATTCTGCATTTATCCGACAAAGTCGCATAGGAACGCACTTGCAACATACATATTTATTAACAAAGCATTTCCAAAATATTAGGGCACAATATTTCAATTTATAATTATATAGTGAATAATGAAATGATGGGTTAGATGAGTGATTTAGGGCCCTCTTAGTGGCCCTATTGTTTATTATGAGAAAAGGCTAAAACAATCAGTGTTGTGAAAGTATATTATAAGAGGGGCAAGTTAAAGTTGAGCTGAACTTGCCGAAAGAGCTGGTATTGCCTTTCAGCAAGTTCTTTTGAAAAATAATTTCCAACACAGAAAAGCAATTGTTTCTGGTGAGCGACTCAGGGCCATCATGGGCCTCCTGTTGTTTATTCATTCATTCAAGACTAACACTTTTCGGGTATATAATGCTTCGCCTAGCGATGCTCTTGTTTTCCTTGCAATATTAACCAGTAAGATTATTTATATTATCTACGTGATCCGTTATTTAGCATTACGCATTTCGATTCGTTGGTTTTATCGAGAATGTTTGTTAACCATGATGGTGCAAATTATTAACCATCAGTCTTTTCTTTCTATCTTTCTTTGAACAATTTTGCTTCTGCTCATTTAAATAGTTTATACTCTAAAATTGCGGAAATAAATTATATATTTTCTCATCTTTGATGATGCATGATGATGATGTATATCCTATACATCATTCGGCTTTTCAGAAATATGAACTTAGTCTGCCAAAACATTGTATAAATAAATCTGCTGTGATTGTAGATATTCATAAAGACAGGAACGAAAGTCGGTAGCGTGCTTGGATATTGAAATTAACTGTATCAAGGTTTTCCATTACGAATGTGCTGAACGTTGTTAAAATAAATATTTTAGTGAGATACTAAAAGTTTTTGTACAGCTTCTATTAATTTTGATGGTTAAAAAGCAACACATATCTGTGTAAGATATTTACAAATATATTTTCATATTCACTGTATTTAAAGACAATGTGTAATATTGTCGCTGTCATTTTAACTTTCGATGGATCAAAACTTTTTTCTTCTAAAAACATATCTCTCGTCTTGCTGCAAATTTAGTAAATGTTTGTATGCTATTTGCACTGTAATGTAAAATTTGTACTAAGAAGAAAAAGAAAACGAAATAACATCATCATAAGTTATCATTTGAAGTTTCATTTTGATGCAACAAAGGCACGCAAAATTGAAAGCTTCATATTTTTGTTAATTTTTCAATGGATAAAAATTCTATTTACTAAATTAAATAACTTTTTGAACATGCAGTTGTTTGCTTTTTCATTTGAGAAAACCATTAACTTTTTATCTTTTAGGTTTTAAGATATAAATGATATACTTATGAAATGTCTTAAACTGGTAATACATAAATATTATTCCAATACTGTGATAATCATAGCAAATTCAATTATTGAATAATTTAATGTATTTGAACTAATTGGTCCTTTATTGCTACCATCGCTGGCTTGAATAACTTGCTTACTAATGAAGTTGGTTCAAATAAATCATTGTTATTTTATTTATAGATAAACAATGCGTTGGAATAGCACATCAACTGAAAATGTTGTGGATGACATAGTAATAAATGATGGTGTTTATACGGGCATGAATGTCACAAATCTGACAACAAACACGATTCTGGAATTTTACCCTACTAACAACTTGGCCGAGCTCTTTGCTATGCTGGAGGAACTACGTTTTAAAGTTTCGGATTTTTTTTGGGAAAGGTTAAGCATAGTATTTGCAATTATCAGTGTCATTGGTAATTGTTTCATAATTGCTGTTCTCGGAAAAAAAGGCGAAAAGCTATCTTCAACTTCTATATTCATCCTGTCACTTGCCCTGGCTGATTTGTTTGTCAGTGGATACTTTATTGAAGGTTTTCTTGTATCGAATGATTACATTTTAGGCGCGTATAGTACATTTGACTGTAAATTTAGAAGATCCTTTCAAATACTAGGGCGTAATGCTTCTCCTTTGACACTTTGTTTGATATCTGTAGAACGAGTATTTTGTGTTGTTATACCGCACAAGGTAAAAAATATATTTACAAGAAAGGTTGCATTTTTTCTGTTACTTGCGGTATGGAGTATATCCTTAGCATTTATTTCTTTGTATGCCTTCAATTACATATTTGTGATCACATCTTTGGGTAATCATTTGTGTGTTATACCTTATAGTGAAAAGTATATAAGTGTTACGTATCGGATAAGTAGTATTATGGGTTTTGTCCTAAAGAATGGTACTTGGTTGATTAATGTCATTTGCATGATAATCATAACACGGACCTTGATTCAAAACGTTGTTGTGAGAGGCGGTAAATCTGTTAAAACACCAGTAAAGTCGGTGACTTTAAGTTTGCTTACAGTAAATGCCGTTTATATTCTATTCATGACACCAATTGTTTTGTATGATGGCTATGTTATGGCTTTTATGGAAAAAGAACTAAACCTTTTTGAGTTCTATAACCACATAAATGTGCACAATATTCTGCAGTTTCTTTCAAACATAAACAACGTCTTGAATATCTTTATCTATTTTTTGCTTGGTGCAAAATTTAGAAAAGACAGTAAAGAGTTCTTACTTTCATTCAAACTGTTACAAATATGTTGTCTTCCAAAAGCGCAAAAGGATTGCTAGATATTATCAATGAAATCCAAATTAAACATTCTAAAGTGACATTATGCCTACCTAAGTTTAATGGTCAGTAAAACGTTAAAACTCAAACTACCTTGGTATTTTGCCATAACTGTGGTGATTTTTTTATTTCACAACGAAAGAATCATAAATAATCTGCGATGTTCAGAATATATCGGTATTGTTCAATATTTACAAAGAGTGGGGCAATCTTTACATAATTAAGGTCATTTTAATAAAGTTTCAGTTACATTTTTCAGTATCAATTATTGGTCAATCACTATTATAACAGTCATTCTTTTGAAATATATTACTCATTCTACTCATATTTACACCGATACAATGAGCAGAATGTCACTTTATTGAACAAGTAAAAAATGTTATGAAAGTAAATATATGCGCTATTTGGACAAAGAAAAAATATTTTCATTGCAACCACTTTGTCTCTATGTATTGTTTTGCTTTAAGAATATATGTATCAGGGTAAATTGTATTGTGTTTGAGGTAGATGCCTCGCATTGTGATTTTAATTGTATATCCTTTCTTTCAAAGTGTATAAGTTTTTTTTCAAATATTGATGAACACAATTTGAATGCATCATCTGCATATTCTTATGAAATATTTCTGCAAAACAAAATATTGATAGAGTTTAAAAGGGATTTAGTAGAGCATTTATATGGTAAACGATTATGATAATTTTTTCTAGAAATGTCATATTTGATCATGTATCTCACACTTACCATCAACTGTCATATATTATTTTTCATAGGATACTAAAAATTATCAACATAATTATTAGTATCGTTTCAAATCCTCCATTATGAGCCAATTCACTTTACTTTTCTTAATATCATTACTTTACATGTAGTCATACTGATCTGAATTTGACGGGACTTAAGAAATTCTTCGACTTACATGGAATTTTGAGTAAGGCGTTTTTGAGTCATTGAGAGTCATTACGTTACATGTAGTCATACTGATCTGAATCAAAACATATCTTTGTGTATCTTTTGCATACGCCTTCAAGTTATATTTGTATTTCAAAATATTGTTGTATTACATTTGACATGCACAATTATTCTGTTATATAAACATAGGAATCAATGAAGAATAAAACTCAATGCCAATCATGCTTATGTTATATTTGTATACAGTTTCAACTTACTTATAGAACATTCATATGATTTAAGATGAATTATTTGAGTAGAAAGCAACGTTTATAGCCCCAATCGCAAACTGTAGCAAATCGCAGGGACATACTTATTTGATATTTACACAACCCTATTAATTCTACGAATATGAAGAAAGATACTGTGACACTTTAATATTTGTTATTTTGTGTGTTTTTATTTTATTTCATTTCCTTTTTACAATGTTTTTTTCTAATAGTTCATATTTAATTCACACCAAAGCCTTCATTTAAGACACAGGAACGCTTTAGTTTTTGCGTATTTATGTATGAACTTTCCTAAAATAACAATTCTTAAAAGGATGAATGTTCAAAATTCAGGAAATCTTAATAAAAGGTTTATATATATATTGATAGTGACTGAGATATTATTCATGTTTATTTTTAAAGATTGATATGTCGAATTATTTACAGATTTTTTTATTTACTTAATTATTCATGTTTTGAGTAATGTATTGATACTAACTTTTTCTTTATTTGATATCTTGATATATTTGTAAGTAATTTTAGTCATTGATTTGCTTATTCAGGTTCTGTTTAAAAGATTGATTGATCCTCTGTTTCTTTTACAAGTCATTTATTTATTTATTTATTTATTTATTCTAATTTACATATTTTCTTTGTATGTTTGTCAGTGAATTATTTAATAAATCGTGTTGTTTCTAATCGATTGTTTGATTTTATCCATATATTTTGTATTCACTTATGCTTGTCACTTATGCTTGTCATCAAACATGTATTTCAGTTTCATATATTGAAATATTTAGAAAAATTAAACTGTTTAATGTTAACACTCGAACAGATATTTTTGCTTGTTAGGCTTATTTTCATAAATAGATATAAGAAAAGTTATGTGAAGCTGCGTTAAGACTGAAAAGTTTGAATCTATTTTGATCCATTATACCAAAGTTTGTTTCATCAATACAAATTTTATTGTAATTATACCAACATTGCTTGTTGTTACATTTTGAACAAACATTTTGATGTTTTGGTTTGGGTTTTGTCGATTTTAAATAAATTTTAAACATAAATCAGATGAATTGAGTTATAAATTGCTTAGCCAAACCTTTTAACTCCCTTAACCTCTTCGGCCCAACCCTTCGACTGTCCCAATATTTTTTTTTCATTTCAGCACCCTTCTTTTCTGCTGACCACCTTTTCTTGTCATTTTGCGAACGCCTCTGTATCTTTGCCTTCATCCTCCCTAGCTACATAAGTCTTATCATTTTAGTTTACTTAATCCATGCTCCACCTGTGTAATTCTTTTACTCTTTGTCTACCTTCTCCAGCTTCTTACTGCATAAGTTATTAACTTTGTTTTCCTTGTGCTTAAGTCCTATACTTTTGATGTACTAACTCAACCATTCAGGTGAGGTGCATAAGTCCTACACCATTTGTCTACCTTCTTGCTGCGTAAGTATTTGACTCATGTTCTACTAGCTTCACCTGCCTGTGCGCAAGTCCTATATTCGTTGTAAACTTACTCCTATTTCCCTACACTACTAACTTTCAACTGCATAAGTTCTATACTCATGGTCCACCTTTATTATCTTCCAGCCGCATACATCCTATATTTTAGCTAGACTATTCGATAAGAATAAGTAGAGCTACTGTAGTCACCCGAGCGTCGGCGTCGGTGGCGTCGTCGGCGTCGGTGTAACCACTTATTTTAAAGTTCTTGTAATACCTCAAATTTTTTCAAGGTCCATTGACATTTGGCTTTGAAAATTTGCACACTTTTTCACCATCATAACCCCAACCTGTAGACAGGAGGAGGTAACTGTATCAAACATTTTGACAGAATTATGCCCCTTGTTCGACTTAGAATTTTCATTAAAGTTTTTGTAACGCCTCAAATACTTTAAAAGTGCATTGGCATATGGCTTTGAAACTTTGCACATTTGTTGACCATCATAACCCCAATTTGTAGACAGGAGGAGGAATTATGCCCCTTACTTGAGTTAGAATTTTTATTAAAGTTTTTGTTATATCTCAAATATTTTCAAAGGCCATTGACATATGGCTTTAAAACTTTGCACACTTGTTTAGCATCATGACCCCAACTTCTAGACAGGAGGAGGTAACTCTATCAAGCTTTTAGACAGAATTATGCCCCTTCTTTACTTAGAATTTACATTAAATTTTTTGTAACACCTCAAATATTTAAAATATCCATTGCCATATGGCTTTGAAACTTTGCACACTTCTTCACCATTATGGCTTCAACCTGTATACAGGAGAAGGTAACTGTTTTAAGCATTGTTACAGAATTATGTCCCTTTTTCGACTTCGGAGGAGGTTACTCTATGAAGCATTTGGCAGTATAAAGCCCCTTTTTCAACATAGAATTTACATTTAAGTTTGCATACCACCTCAGCTATTTTCACATTCTATTGACATCTGGCTTTGAAACAAGTTGAAATTCTATATTCTTCTTTGAGAGCATAATAGGACTCTGTCCATGGCCTTTAACTATAACATGGATTTTAAAAAAATTGCCCTTTTGTTAGCTAAGAAAATTTTACATTATCAAGGCTCTTTTACTATCAATCACTTAGAACAGTCGAGCGTTGCTGTCCTACTGACAGCTCTTGTTAGAACTTGCACTAATTTCCAGTTTCGTGGGTCATAGCTGCGCAAATCCTATATTCTTTATATACTTACTCTTACTACAAACTGCGTCCTATTCCTATTCTATTTACCCCACCTTTAAACTGCTGGGTAAGTTAATATACCTCCCAGCCGTATAAATCCTATATTTTGGTACCTGCTGAACCTTCAAGCTGCGAACGTCCTATACACTTGGTCTACCTACTCCACCTGTCAGCTTCGCATTCCCTTTACTCTTTGGTTTACTTCTGTTACGTTAGTCCTATACTGTTGGTATACTTACTCCATCACTTACTGTGTTTCTTTACTTACACCTTTCTGCTACATTAGTAGAACACTCAAGTCTACTTTCTCCTTATTCACGAATTCATGTTGCACCGACTCTTCCTTCTTCCTGCTCTATTTATCGCGCACTTTTAAGGGCCTTGACTTACTTCACCCCTCTACACAATGTTTAAGAATGCGAACCTGTGGTCACCTTTATATCATTCTTACACTTGGCTTTTTAAAAAAAAATTAGTTAGATGACACCAGAAGAAACATTATAAACATTAAAAACAATACACAAATCAGTAACCAAAGGTGTTTTTTTTATGAAAACGTCCCCGTACAAAGATTAGCAACACAGGAACATCGACACGGGGGCCAGTAAGCAGTGCACCAAACAAAACAATTAATAGACACACGGGGAAATAATAGAAAGTCAAATTAATAACATCAAAATTGACAAAAGATTCTTTTAGTGTGTCATTTCAAAGGCGATGTCCCTTAGAATGATAATAGTTATATGTATAATTTTATTTATCTATTTTTTGAATCATGGTTTTGTCAAATAGAAATATTAATTGAAAGTGGTCAGGAAAGATACTATGTAGAACATCATGTGACCTGTCCGAAAAGTCACCATTGATAGGTAAAAATATTTCAAACATTCCATCTATACATTTTATAAAGAAATGCTATAAAATGTTTGATCCCAGCTATAAATTATGTTCGGAATTCTTCAGACTAAATAGTCAATATGACAAGGTTAAATAACAAATACGGTTAAAATCAAAATCGTCGAATGTTATGCAGGCTAGAAAATATTACACCTAACATGAACTTGTCACAATACCAAGTGTACCGTTAGATTAAATAATTGAATTACAAAATTTGTTGACGATTGTTTTATGACTGTTTGTTGAAAATCGCTGAGAAATGTTGGAAGAGTAACACAGAGGGAATTTTTTATTTTATTGCGTTGCTTATGAAAAAATACCTAAAATCGCAATATAGTAATGAAATCATAAACAACACAGGATTTTCCAAAGTTATTACAGAGTAATGATTTTATGAAAGTGTTGATGAGATTCATCACGTAATGTCTTCCTTGATATTTGCACCCAGAGGAGGATAAAATCTATGCATTACTTGAAAAGAAATAAAAGGCCAAACCTCCGCTGACAATACAAATAAAACAAACAAAACGATAGGATGCAACAGAATATTGTTTGGCAGTTTGATTGAATTCCTTTGAGAAACAAGGCAGTTGCAAACGCAAGATGATACATACGGCCATCGGCTAGCAAATAGAAAGATTTTGCTGTTAGAAACTTGTTTTCATTGATGTTTAAAACCATTTACGATATTAAGTGTTTCATTGAAATAAATATTGATTTTATAATATCCATATCATTTTTCATATCATTCTATGAAATGGAAGTCTTTATAGGCAAGTTTGATAAGCATGCACTAAACAATATGAAAGACGGGGAGACAAATAACGATACTATGATGTTGCATTTACTTAACTTTCAATAAGTTTATGTAATGACGGCGTAAACCTTAGACAGAAATGAAACCTGCATCATATCAAAGCGCAATTAAATGACTTTGAGCTATCAATCCATGTATGCGGTAGTGCGGTCAAAACACTTTTAGAATAAATCATATTTCGGAAATTTATCAAGTGTATCTTTTACTCAATGAATATAAATACCGACACACTACTCACTATGCTAATATCGTTCAGAAGGCACTACACATACCCATTTGAACAATTTGTTTGTCAAAGGCTGTGAATGCAATATTTAAAATTCCTCCCTATTGCGCGTTCTTTAATGTTTCTGTAGTTTTTCTGTTAAGTTTGAAAAATCTTAGAAAGCCTATGATTGTTAGCTCAGCTGAGCTTTTGTCATTGCAAACTGTCCGTCATTCGTTGAGAGTACAACAATTTGCATCATTGTGTTTTCGCTGTTTTCGCATTATTAAAGGTAAATAGAACAAAAAGACGACACAGACAAAAACAAATTTCAGCAAAAATACCATACGACGTAAAATAGTCTGTATTCAACATTAATGTGCTACATGTTTGGCATTATCTAAGACCTTATTCCTGCTTAATATTGCAACATTATTTTACTTTCAAATTAGTGACTGTTAAGTGTCATTTCGTATGATCGATACTACGAACATACTGTTTTAAAACACGCTCAGGAATACGAAAATTACACAAATTATCCACCATTATAATCCAGTACAGTATGGATAGTGTAGTTAGAAGTGTTAATCGTTAATGGTATTAACCAAAAAATATATTTTTGATCAGTTTAGTCTTTTCAAATTTAAAATTAGAAATTTCAGAAATTTCTTTGCATTTATTTTATTTACATTTAATGTTATGTATATAAACATATGATAGTTTTATTTTGTATTTTAGAATGTTTTCGATCAGAGATAATGTCGA